ATTCTCAAATGAGTTTAGGGGCATTCATAATTTACGTTAAACCAGCATAGTTTTAGTATATAAAATAAAGTCCTTATAGTAACGCCATATGATATTATATTTGTGTTATCTTTAAGATTCTATAGCAATGCTAGTTTAACCCAATTAGTAAAAACCTATTTTATATAAATCCCGTTGAATATATTACTAAAATCTGAAGCATAGAGTATTCACAACTTATATTATTTTATCGATTAAACGCCTTCTAGTTGGCTTTAGCCAACTCGTCACAATGATTTCATTCGCTTTGCGTAAAAACTCTAAAATGAACACCAAAATAAGTCACATTCTTATTGAACGCGTAGAGAAATATATAAATGAGGTAACAGATTTAGTGGAAGGTTCAAATTTAGCCGAAATAATAGATCCTAAGTCGACCTTTGAAAGCTTGAGAAAGGAGTATATATCACGCATTAAACTAAACAAGGAGCTCAACGCTGATGAAAAGGATTTTTGTATCGGATATTTAGGGACATCTCTGAAAGAAAAAATCAAACATATTCGTCCCGAACTTATTAACGAAATTGAAGAAGAAATAAAAAATTCATATGGTAAAATGAGCACACAGGAATATGAATCATTCATTCAGAAACATAAGGATAAACTTAACCCTCAGGAAATCGACTTGTGTATTGAGCATCATAAAAGGCATAAAGAAACAATAAATAAAAATTATTGTCCAAGATGCTGCCAAATATGGTCTAATGGCAATTATTGTACCGGTTGTTTAGCTTTACATGTAGCAAATAATCAAAATAAATCTGGTAATGAGTTTATTGATAATCTTCTTTTTAGATGTCGATTAGAACAATGCTCAATGTTTCAAGGAAGCGTTATTGAATGGGTATCTTACGAAAATTTCGATAACGTTGAATGTAAAACGGAGGGTAAATTTGGATCTATATATTTTGCGACTTGGCTTGAGGGGTGTATTGTCGATTGGAATCAAGATCATGGATTTATAAGAAATGGTCCTAAGAAAGTCGTATTGAAATTATTAAAGAATTCAAATAATTTGGATAAGAAGTTTTTTGAAGAGGTATGTTCTGTAAATCTACGTTTTATATTTCTATTGATTATTAATTTGAAGGTTATTTTACAATAATAATTTCTACGCCTGTAATTGGTTAGGCAATGACTCACGTTCAATTTTCATCCCAAGGCTCACGCGGAGTTCAATGCTACGGGTTGACAAAATTTCCTGAAACAAGAGAACTTATGTTAATTATGGATCGCATGGAGAATGGGTGTCTTGGAGTCTTGTTAGAACATAATGATGTCTTATTAACATGGAAGGAAATATTCTTTTTACTTAAAGAAATATTTTATCAACTAAGTCAAATTCATGACAACGGAATGATACACAAAGATCTTCATCCAGGTAATATTTTATCTGGCACTAAAGGATGGTTTATTGGTGACTTTGGATTTAGTGGGCCTGCCAACAAAAACCCAGATGATCAAATATTTGGAATTATGCCTTATATCGCACCAGAAGTGTTATATTATAGAAAACATTCACCAGAATCAGACATATATAGCATGGGAATAATAATGTGGCAACTTGTAGCAAGGCGTAGACCATTTAGTGATCGTAAATACGATATTCATCTTGCCAGAGCCATTTGTGATGGGCTTCGACCACCAGAGATTACAAATATTCCTGATGACTACCAAGGAATAATGAAAAGGTGTTGGGATGCAGGTCCTTCAACAAGACCAAAAGCACAAGAAATGTTTCATTATTTTGACAAAATACTCCAAAAAATGTCTTGTGGCGAATATATGATTCCCGAAATGAAAATTGATTTTAATAGTTTATATACTCATGGTTCCGATAGGGCCACTAGTACTATTCTTACGGTTGATAATTTGCCTATACCTAAAAATAAGGTAAGGTTGTTTATCGAATGAAAAAATATATATAGCAATGGGGATATTCAGAGCTGTAACGACGAAATTTTTAAATTGATCCGGTGACATAAACATCATGTGCCCTACGTAATAGTAATTTAACATTTCTTTTTAGGTTCAATACAAAGAAACAACAGATGGATTATTATTAGAAATGCCATATTCACAAAGAGTTGATGATTTGAAAACTTCACAAATCGAGAATGAAGAAGGTATTAATTTTACATTGGAAAAAACGAAATGATTGCTCTTTTTGATGAGATAGAATGTGACATAATCACCTGATTTCTTGTGATTACATCTATCCTTTACACCGTTTTGCATTCAAATTTACATGCAAATTATCATAAGTGATTCCTGTTAGAACTTTGAATTCATTAGATTTTAGTTTATGTCGCAGCATACTTCAAATTCAGCTTTGATAACAGAACGATGTAAGGGATAATATATTCATTCCACCTCGTTACAAAAACTAAATTACTGTATACTGTGAAAACCTCTTCAAATGCATCCATTTGAACAAGATGCAAGTATGCGTTTATATAAAATAATTTTATTAAAGTTGTTAGATGCCTATACTAAGGTATATTTACAAACATCATTTTATTCATCTTAGCTTTGAAATCTATACATTCAAATTCTTCTCTCCTTGACAACGACTTGAAACTTTCAGATCTTAAATATACTAGAAATGGGTCTATTTTTAGAAATCGTGGATTAGCACTACAATCTCAGCAAAACTATAGAGAATCACTCGAAGAACTTAATTCTGCTCTTGAAATCGAGCCATTCAATGAAATAGCTTTGCATTCTCGTGGAGTTGTTTATAGGCAATTGAACAGATATGCGGAATCACTTGCTGACTTTAATAAATTACTGTACATTAGACCTGACTTTAAAGAAGGCTTAAAAGACCGTGCTGCTATTTATGTCTTACAGAATAATCCAGAGAAGGCACTTTCAGATTTGAACAGAGCACTAAAACTTGGACCTGACGCAAGAGACACAAAGTTATTTTTATTGCGTGGAATTTCTAATGGTATGCTTGGCCATTATGAGGAATCACTTGTAGATTACAATAAAATGATGGAAATCGATCCAAATGATACATATGGTTTAGAAAAACGTGCGGCAACATATGCTATATTGGGTCGAAATGAGCAAGCACTTGAAGATCTAGACAAAATAATGAAGACCAACCCTAATAATATGGCAGCACTTAAAGTCCGTGTAGAAGTGTGTATTAAATTGGGTCGAAATGAGCAAGCGCTTGAAGCTCTAAATAAAGTATTGGAGGTTAACCCTAATGACATAGTAGCACTTGAAACCCGTGGATTAATTTTCCTACATGAGAAACTATATGAAAATGCTCTTGAGGATTGGCATAAAGTATTGGAAATAACCCCTGATAATATGGTAGCACTCATATCCTGTCGTATGCTTCGTTTGTTAACGAAGCAAGACAAAGATGATCTTTCTGATTCTTTGAACATTTTAGATCTCATTTCTAAAGGTCACATGCACAATAAAGAATTTATATTATATTTAGATAGTTTACTGGAGATTAATCCAAGCAACGAAGGATTATTAATGATTCGTGGAGAAATTTTATTTTTCGAGCTAAGATATGAAGAAGCAATTGAATGTTTTAATAAAATATTAGAGTATCAACCAAACAATTTATTCGCTTTGTATCTTCGTGGCGCTGCTTATTATAATTTTGGAATTCATATAGAAGAATCAAAAGGTTCTGGCCAATTATTTGAATTGCGTCAAAATAATAAAATAAGCTTAAGAAAAAATAAAGTTAATCAGGCCATCCTCAACTATGAAAATGCTCTTAAAGATTTTAATAAGGTTCTAGAAATCAATCCAAATGATACCTTTGCATTAAATACTCTTATGAAAATTGAAGCGAGAATGGGAAAGAAAACGCTAATAGAATTTCTTCCAGATCTAGATAAATCTTTAAAAATTAATCCAACTAATACAATGTCATTATTAATACGTGGGTCGATTCTAGGCACTCAATTGGGAAGGTATAAAGATGCAATTAAAGAATTTGATAAGCTATTAGAATGTGAGCCAAACAATATACACGCCTTGAGATGTCGTGGTGAAGCTTATATAAATATTGGAAATTATGCGGAGGCACTCAAAAATTTTAATCGAGCATTACAAATCGATAAAAATGATGCGTTAAGCTTAATTAAACGTGGAAAGATTTATTACAAAATGCTTGATTATGAAAATGCACTTACAGATTTTAACGAATCATTGGAACTTACTCCTAATGAAGAGCTCATTCCTTATTATAAAGAACTCTCGGAGTTTGTTTTAAGAAGTCGTGCAAAAATTTATTGGGAATTAAGTGATAATTTACAAGATCCTTATACTTCAAAGTAAGAATTCCAATTGTACTTGAAATCCGCAAAAAATGGAAATATTAATACAAAACTAGCTCAGTGCCTGGGCGTTGCCCCGGGTCTGAGGTTTCTATTTTTCTTTATCTTAGTTTTTTAATTTTATTTAATTCTTAAAATCTATTGTTGCGGCTGAAGCTGGAATTTTAAATATTTTATTATGAAATTTTCAAATTTTTTTGGGGTGCATTTTTTTAGCTTTTTTTCATGGTTAGATTAGGATTTAGGGTTAGTTTTGATAATGAAAGAGTATAAGTGGATTTTGGCAGAGTTTATATTTTTAAATCAGAGTCCCTGATTTTCAGCTTCAGCCGTTTCCAGCTTCAGCCGCGACATCTATTATAAAGTTTTTATTTTAAATTTATCTTAGATTTTTATTTATACAATAGCTTTTTAATTTATTTTAATATATACAAATTAAATAAATAGATTTATATACAAATAATATTAAATTAAATTAAATAGATATTTGCTATTTATCACCACTGGTGATTATCGCCAGTTTGCAATATCTCAAAAACGTGACTAAAAAACAGGGTCAGGTATACTAATAAAAAATGTTCAGAACCTCTAAAAACCTTGTATAATCTAAAATTTGAACCATTTAAGCTGACCTTTCTTTGGTTATAAAATTGCATTCTAACTCTAAAATTATATATAATGCAAAGTAATTTTTTATTATATATATAATTTTTTTTAAAAAATATCTAATTTTCATTACAGGTGATTATCACCTATAATTTTCAATATATAACAAAATAACAAAATAAATTTTTTTGAAATAAAAAATAGGGTTTTATAATATAACACATGTGCATTGTAATGTGAAATCAAAAAAAAATAGTGATGTTTTAAAAAAATCACTTATAACTCATAATTTTGCTATGAAATTACCTTTTGCATTCTAACAAAAAAAATTTCTTGCAAAATTTTGGGTACAACTAACATTTATCTACAATCTAATCTATCTTTACATTAGTGCTAACTCTTACCCTAAATTAATGTATTGTAGTTTATTTTGATTTCATATTACACCAGTTCTTATGAATGTGTCATAGCGCACCTGTGCTAAATTATAAATTTTAAAAATAATATTTTTTATAGTTAAAGTTAAAGTTTGGGATAAAACAAGAGTATTGCTTATAGTAAAATTTTAGAATTTTTTTTTAAAGCTCAAAGATGGTTTTATAACTAAAATTTTAAATATTAATAATACAGATGATAAATATTCTATAGAATAGGTAGGTAATATAAAAAATAAGCTTTACTAATAATTAGTAATCATTAATTTTTTTAATATTAGAGTTGCTAAATTGCAAAATTTGCTTACCTATTTATAGAATATCTTAGGTAATAATTATTTATAGTGTAAATTAACAAATTCTTAAAATTAAAAAAATTATTAATTGCAAAATTTAAATAATTTTTTTTTTTTTTATTATAAAATGCCATAGTTAAAACTTTATTGATAAGTAGAACATTTCTACATTTAAAGATTTTAAACTACATTTGTG